CGTTTTCTTTGAAAAACCATTAGCCTTTTAGTTAAGATCCTGCCGCCCGGTTCTTGGCCGATCCCCCTTTGTGGGTGTGCGCCAGAGTGTCAAGGATCATCATCATCATCATCATCATCAATTAATGTCTTAGTGTGCGCTGCGTTGCGTGCTCATAGAAACTCAGAAGCGCGAGCACGATTTTTCTGTAATTGTCCTTTTTGTATCTCCTTTAGTTCCATCATGTGCAGCTGTTGTATTACCATTTCGCGTTCTGTCTACTTGTACCTGTGGTGTTCGTTTAGAGTATTGTTTGTTTTGTAGCTGTTCTTTCGCATCGCGTACTTGAGTTTTTCCTCTGAGTTATGAGCTCTTGCCTCGCCCTTGTTTTAATTAAATTCTTGTTCGTTTTTAACGCTGTGACGTGTTACTCTAAGAGTGCGTCAGTCAGACCCCAAAATCACTACGCGTGCAACCCCGCACGGGCCGACCGGCCTGCTGATAAACTTGAGGTTTACCACTTGTAGTCCTTTCAGGCGTCGCAGGTCTAAACGAAGCCTCTGCGAGTCTGCCGCACGCCGAGGTTAGATCGGTGGCACCTCACTAAAAATTTGTGACAAGTATGCTGTTCCTCAATGCATTGAATCGGCGACAAGATGTGTTTAGAATAAGTGGTTAATGATTTAGAGTACTTGGTACTCTACTATGGGAGAGCACTGAGCCGTCCCTGATACATGAGCTTGAGGTTCATGAGGAACCCCAAGGAGGAGGAGAAACAATATGTAAAAAAATGGCCAATGTTTCGTCCTAATTACACAAAAGGGTTTCTGTTTTCAGAGACTCTATAAAATACTTTCCAGTGACAGGGATCAGGAGACCAGGGAAGTTAATGAGGCATTTCACATCGCCAAAAAATAAAAAAAATAACTGTATTAGCCAAGCATCGGGTAGTTTAAGCGATTGCGAATTTTTTTTTTTGTAACCTAATCGCAATTGTAACACGTGGTACACTATCATTTATATTAACCGTGTCTTTTCTGCGAAATAAACTATAGTTGCGAGTGCAGCGCTGAACCTTTTTGTTCCTTTTGTGCTTGTCTTCGCGCACTGCTTCATAAACAAACGAACCATAACCAACTCACCGGACTCTTAACGTTACTGTTTGTTTTTTTCTTTCTGTTTCATGGTTTGTGATTGTTCATTGCCACATTTTATTTGTTTCATGGTTTGTGATTGTTCATTGCCACATTTTATTTCTGAATTTATTCTGTGTATATCTGTTTCATATCGTTTTGTTGGTTTGTGTTAAACAAAAAAGCTAAACTTGCTACGTCACTGTATTACACACTTTTCCTTATTGCCAAACTTTTGCAAGGTGTCCTGTCTTATGTTAGCTTCTTATTTGCTAATAGTCAGTGCGGCAATCAATCAGCAGTAAGGCCGCTTTTTTTTTCCGCCAATCTTTTTCTCCTTGCTGAGGTGAAATAAAGTCCTTCTTTGCTGAGGTGAAATTAAGTGGCTGTAGTTTGCGTCTTCCGCGTGATATACTTACGAAATAATCACTTCGCGTTCTCGAGCTTCTCTGAGTTCAACGTTTGCGGATTTTGTCCAAAACACGTTTAGTTCCCACATACGGTATTTTCGTTTCGATCCCGCACTACACGGCAGACGCGTTTTAAGTTTGTAATTGCTACTCCACTGTGTAACGGCGAAATAAAATTCAGTGTATTTACGTCGGTAAATAAATAAATAAATAAATACATGCAGTCATTACCTGAAGGACAGAATACACAGCCCCCGAGCAAGCAGAAGGGGTTAATCTTCTTGAACAGTTAAGCGGAGTTTGCACCGATCATTGATGACCGAGGCTTACTGGGCTAAAACGGAAACAAAAGTGAACGTAAAAAACGCGCGTGTCAGTGTTTACGTTTGGGGTCAGTCAGTTGGGTACGGCCCGCAGTGCTGTTATGTTCGCGTTACATAGATTCATTCAGGCAACCGGAAGGGTACGTTGCTAGTGGTACCGCCTCATCGACGCAGTTCCTTTCTTCCCCTTATTATCCGTTTCCTCTTATTATGTTACCTTTATTTTCTCGAGTTCCTCCGCCTTTTCTCACTTTTTTATGTCAGCTACGTCTCATACTTCTCTGAATTCTCTCTCTCTCTCTCTTATTTACGTTGCATAGTAACTAAATTTTCTTTATAAGGTACAGTGTGGCCAATCCATTTAGTGGGTATGAGCCAGGATCTTTTAGGTGACAAAAGAAAACATACTTACGACGGGTTTAGCCACTGTATACCCTTTCTTTTCAATGTCACGCAGTAGCGTTTTGTATTGCTTCAACCCTTCTCCCTCTCGACAGCGTGACTGATCTCCCCGGTGGGTATGAGCCAAGCGACAAAACAGAACAATTCATCTTCGACCGTACATTGTATTTTTTACTTGCTATAGCGGCTGGGCAAACTGCCCGTTTCGTTTGCGGCAAACAGTCCGTCGAACGCACGCTATATGTCAAGCCGGCCGTGACTTCGCGGGTCTGATGAATAGGGGAAAATGTGATTAATGCTGTGCAGATGCGTGTACGAATCTTGATGCGCGATGCTGAAAAAACCGTATCGCCGAACGTCGATCCGAGCGTCACGCTATACAGATTGAATTCGCCGCTGCCTGACGTCGACGCCTGCTTCATGGTTCGGGGAACCTCGGCGCCGAGCGACCCGCGCCCAGGACCCCGCTCGAGATAACGGACGATAATGTTTCCGAAACACCCGTTTCTGGCGGCGCCCGGTCGGATGGCGCTCGTCCTGACGTTCGAACTCACAGCGATGGGCCTAGTCCGCTGCATAGTCTTCGGAGACCGTAAGCACGATTACGCTTGATGTCTTCTGATGTCGTATATAGGTTTTGATTGATCGATTTGTGGGGTTTAACGTCCCAAAACCACCACATGATTACGAGAGACGCCGTAGTGGAGGGCTCCGGAAATTCCGACCACCTGGGGTTTTTTTTTTAACGTGCACCCAAATCTGAGCACACGGGCGTACAACATTTTCGCCTCCGTCGAAAATGCGGCCGCCGCAGTCGGGATTCGATCCCGCGACCTGCGAGTCAGCAGCCGAGTACCTTAGCCACTAGACCACCGCGGCGGGGCTAATGTCGTATACAGGTATTACAACTGAACTGTATACATGGTGTTCTGAATATCAAGTAGCCCGGTTAAAAAAAGGGGGGTGTTGTTACGTGAAACAAGAGCATACTGTTCCTAGTACACTGTAGTATAGCCACAACTAATTTTCTTGTTAATGATGTATATATAATAAGATTTAATTATGTTTTCAGCTTAACAAATACTCACCTAATTATTAAAATGTCAAGTAGGCACATGTAGGCTTGTTTATATGACTTCTAAATGCGCTATTTACAGCAAAGTACTAATTACGTGCTCATTTTTTTCAGCTAATAAGGAAAGCATGCGAAATTAAAAAAAACTAATTACACCATCTCGCACTAAAGGGATCCATGTGTAGTAGCTGGCGCTAACGCTTACATTTGATGGTGGCGTTGACGCTGGCGCTCACCGTGGCGTTGCGGAGAAGAGAAGCATGGGGAGGCGCAATGCACGCATGCAGTGATGGATCGATGTTTCCGCCACGCTGATAAGACGCGCGACGTTCGTGATCATTCCCGCGTGACGGCCCAAGAGGCAGAAGGGCGCCCGGCGTGGCGGCTTGGTTAAAAAAAAAAGACGGTGCTCTTCAAAGAAAAAAAAAATATCCAGGTACTTTAATGTGTGCTGCAGTCTAGTCATGTTCTTGGTTCCCACTTTTGGCTCCCGTTTTTTTTTTTTTTGTTGTACGCCCGTTTTGTTCAAACACAGCAGCCAAAAAAGCACGCAAACTTTTTGAGACCTCGCAGATCTCCAAACTGTCGCAAGCTTGTGTAAGTCGGGCGTCAGTAACACTGCATGATAAGGAAGTTTCGTATCTTCTGTTATGCCCGAGGTAGGGTGGCTAGCTAGCATGGTCCTCGTTTGGGAGCGCTTCTTCCCACGAGAATGAGCGCAGTTCCTGTAAACTCTCCCCTCCCCCCCCCCTCGCCTCCCAGCGCCACCTTCCACGCAGACGCCGCCGAGCCACGTGCAGTTCCGGCAAAGGCTTCGCCTCCTCCGCCGAGCTACCGTACAGTTCCGTAGAAAGCTGCGCCTCATCCGCCGAGCTACCGTACAGTTCCGGGGAAAGCTGCGCCTCCTCCGCCGAGCCCCGAAAACTGGTCTCAGAGGAAAGACCCAAAAGCGTTATTTAAGGCCGTGCTGGCCCGATGTTTGAGGGATTGTGTCCCAGCCGACGTTGTCGTGCTGGCTGGCTCTGTACAAACGACAAGCTGCTGCTGCTATAAACGTTGCTACCTGTTTTGTTTTATAAAACGTTTGCGTCCCTATTTCGCCCGTGGGCGAAGGCTTCAGCGTAGTCTGTTCAACTTCTCGCCGCTCTCGGCTACCGCTACCATCGCGCCACTGCGAATTCCTAACAGTGGTGGCAGTGGTGGGATGCCAACAAACCCGAATATTTAACACTTGGGACAACGTATAAAGTATGTGCGTGGGTGTTCTTCGGTTTTTGAGTGAAAATGGTCAGATTTTTTTTTTCATGCACCATACGATCGGGTTCTCTGTATGTACAGCGCCTCCCCTGTAATAAAACAAATAAGGCGCTGGTATATAATACTTCCGATTAAAAAAAAACTTACGTCAAAGTCGGCACTATGTTCTTATCAGTCCTTCTTGTGCGCGTCGTATTCACTGAGAAAGAAAACAAGATGCCTTTCACCTTCGAGACCACTGCACATCCTAGGATCGCTGGAGTTGTCTCACTCTCGTGGTGTCGCACTTGTCGCCTTGCCCAGGGCCAATGTCTTCTTGTTTTGGAGATCTGTCTTTCACCTACGAGACCACTGCTCATCCTAAGATCGCTGGAGTTGTCTCACTCTCGTGGTGTCGCACTTGTCGCCTTGCCCAGGGCCAATGTCTTCTTGTTTTGGAGATCTGTATTTCACCTACGAGACCACTGCGCATCCTAAGATCGCTGGAGTTGTCACACTCGTGGTGTCGCACTCGTCGCCTTGCCCAGGGCCAATGTCTTCCTGCTTCGGAGATCTGGGCTGTCTCAACTTGACGGGCTTCTACGACCCCAGGCTGCGCTTCGTCAACGCCATGCCGTGGCCCCGCGCAAAGATCGGCACCCACTTTCAGCTGTACACGCGGCGCCGGCCCGACGCGCCGCAAGTCTTCGCGTGGAACGTCACCGCCGACCAGCTGCGCCAGTCCGCGTTCAATCCGCGACTGGAGACCAAGCTGTTCGCCCACGGTTATCTGCAGATCACCAAGGTTCCAGACCATCCGATGCGGGTAGGCACTTTGTTTACGATGTATGTATGCGCGTGCATATGTATGTATGTATGTATGTATGTATGTATGTATGTATGTATGTATGTATGTATGTATGTATGTATGTATGTATGTATGTGTGTGTGTGTGTGTGTATGTATGTATGTATGTATGTATGTATGTATGTATGTATGTATGTATGTGTGTGTGTGTGTGTGTGTGTGTATGTATGTATGTATGTATGTATGTATGTATGTATGTATGTATGTATGTATGTATGTATGTATGTATGTATGTATGTATGTATGTATGTATGTATGTATGTATGTATGTATGTATGTAGTATGTATGTATGTATGTATGTACGTTCTAGTGTCTTGTGCATCAGGTAGTTAGGTGGGTACTCATATGAAGCTTAAAAACCTAAGAAAATTGACAAGTTTAATTCCAAAGTTACGGCTGGTGTCGAACAGACATCGAACAGACAATAATGCCAAAGAAAGTATAAGGGAAGTTATTAGACCGAATTGTAATGTAAGTGCAAAGAAAGAAAAGTGGGTCAAAAGATAACTTTTATTTATCTCTCTCTCTCTCTCTGTGCGTGCGTGAGTGCGTGCGTGAGAGCGCGCGCGCGCGTGTGTGTGTGTGTGTGCGTGTGTGTGCCACGAGCAGTTCCGGTAGTTGGGAGAAAACTATTTATTCTGTGCTAACTCGTCCACATCCTGTGAAGATTGGATGCATATGGCTGGCATACGACGAATACGTAAAAAAAAATTCCGATTCGTCATCCCTGACGTCTCGTTCAAAACAGACGGATGTTGGCGTAATTTTCTGGACGGAACTCGGGCAACAACGTTTGCGCATTCAAATGCCAACGCAGGCCTCTGTAGCGTGATTACGCAGTCTTAAGCGAACACAGGTTCGCGCATTAAAATCTCAACTCAGACCTCTGTAGCGTGATTACGCAGTCTTTAGTGAACAAAGGTTTGCGCATTAAAATCTCAACGCAGACCTCTGTAGCGTGATTATGCAGTCTTCAGTGAACAAAGGTTTCGACGAATCTAAAGGTTCACCAATCTTCCTTTGCTTGAAGGCCATCAAGGATGCTCTCTTGCAAGTAGGGGACTTCAACGTGATTCTCGTTGACTGGGCGAGCGGGAGCAAGTATGACTACATCCAGGCGACCGCCAACACTCGCATCGTCGGGCTCGAGATCGCCCGACTTATCTGCCTGCTGCAGGTGATGACACCAGACAGAGAGGAGAACTCATTTTGTGCAACAAAAACAACAACAAAAGCTTACGTAAACGTTTGTTGCGTTAGGTCCTAATCGCAGCCCTTCAAAAATAGCGACGAGCTCGATTCGCAGCAATGCAGGTGTCGACGCAGTTGGTTGTGAGCGACAAATCATCATCTAGTTCCGTGAATGAAAAATCTAAAAAAAGTGCAAAAATAAAATCGATAAAGGAAATCTTCGAATCAGAGTGAGAATCGAACCCAGGCTGTTCGCGTGGCAAGCACGCAGTGTTCTACCACAGAGCCAGTCTACTAAGTTAAGAAAAAGTGCTATAATAATAATAATAATAATAATAATAATAATAATAATAATAATAATAATAATAATAATAATAATAATAATAATAATAATAATAATAATAATCGTGGCAGAAGTTAGCGGTAGTATTACGCTCTCGAGGTTGACATGTCCATAAGTAAAGGTAAATAAATAAAGAATCAATTAAAGCAAAACAAAAATTATGCTTAAAATAATGACAATGCATGTAATCCAGCTAGCCTATCACGTACACTAGCTCGCCCACTTGCAGCTTCGCTGCCCGACGTTCTTCACGGCGTGGAACTTTCTTCTTATTATTTTTTTGCCTCCTTTTAAAGGAAGCATTTGGAGTCACGCCAGATAGGTTTCACATACTCGGTCACAGCCTGGGCTCTCACATAGCTGGCTACGCTGGGCAGAAGCTGCGATTTCTTGGCAGAATTACAGGTGAGTCGTCGCCTGTTGTGCGATTTCTTTTGAGGATAACTTACTTTTTTTCAATCACCTACTTGAATGTTATTTATTTTTATTTGTTGCTTAATTTATCTAGCCTGCGTCGCTCAAGTGGGCATTTAGCAGGGGGTAAAAAAAAATTACGTCTCCCACTAAAGGTAACCATGAGTAGCATGCGAAGCAGCGCATGCGTCGACTTGAAGTTCCCTTCATCACGGGAACCTTGTCAGATGTTAAGGCGACCTTGCAAGTAGAGCACACCATGAATTCACGTTAGTTTCCGTTTCTGTTGCACGTCCCGAACTCCAGTTGGAGCATGCCACGCGGGTTCATCACCACGCCACGCACGAACATTGAGGGTTCATCGCGCGTCTGCAGAGTCTCGTTGGTCTTGTTCCCTGACGCCATCACGTGGTCGCTGGGAGAGTGTAACAGGGAGAGGCCACAGCCTCGCAACCACGTACGCAAGCTTGAACGCGCCAGCGACCTTCCCGAACGCACTAGCGCGTTCTAGCGCGTACGGAACTGCATTTCTTAGAGGAGGAAGAGAGGAGACGCCATCACGTGATCGCTGGGGGCGAGTAACGGGGAGAAGCCACAGCCTCACAGCCACTTGCGAAAGGCCGATCGCGCTAGCGACTTGTGCGAACGCGCTAGCGCGTTCTAGCTCGTTAGGGCCTGCGTTTCTTAGAGGAGAGAGAGAGAAGGGGAGGAGACGTGAATGCCCAGTAAGGGCGGTCATGCCGCACACCGGATTGAATTACGCTCGTAGTTACTTTGCATCTAAAACGTCACAGTTTTAAATACAATGAAGTACGCGCTAACACAGCTGCCCCCCGCGGTGGTGTATACCAGTTAGGGTGATCGGCTGCTGACCCGAAGGTCGCGGGTTTGATTCCGGCGGTCGCATTTCGATGGAGGCGAAATAGTGGGGGCCCGTGTGCTGTGCAATGTCAGTGCACGTTAGAGAACACCAGGTGGCGTAAAATTTCCGGAGCCCTCAACTGCGGCGTCCCTCTTAATGATATCGTGCTTTGGAGACGTAAGACCACAGATATTACCTGAGCTCACCCAGCTGTTTCTATCCATTCATCCAAAGCGCACATCTTGTAATGAAGGACAAAATGCATCAGTGAAAGGATGAGCGAGAACACTCGTGCGACAGCTTATTTCACCCAATGTATTTTTCGAAATGATCATTTGCGTGATACGGAGTATACTTGCTCATCGTGTACAAACTCTTTTTATTACGCGTTTCATCACAAAAAAGAAATAAAAAGGAATGGAATATAAAACCTTTATTCGCAATAGTTATCTTCGTTGCCGAACAAGTTGACAATCTGAGCCACTGTTAATGCGGGTAATACTGGAATTGTAGCACTTGTAAAGTATTTGTCTCGGTGATAACTGTACACCGAATTCAACTACGGGTACTCACTCGAGTGCTACCAGCGCTGACTAATGCTTCTTAGCAGTGGCTAAATTGGTGAAGTGGTTGCTAATCGAGGGCGGTGCAGTGGATAAGGCATGGGGTGTGGCAGCCTCCGCCAGCCCCCCCCCCCTCCTATGCCCCCCCCCCCACTCACCCTTGTGCATACATAGTGAAAACACAACGCATCAATTCCTCGCCTTCTTATTGTCATCCCACCAACCCTAAGGAACTCACTTGCCGGGGATGCCCGTCTGCCTCCAATATAAAAAAAAAAAAGTATCCTGGCGTCGCGCCTGTGGCTTATCTTGGTTAGTGTTGGCTAAATAATGGCTGGTGTTGGTTAGGCATTGTAATTTCGACTACATGCTGTTACTATGGCGACGTTGTCTTTGACCATAGACAAGTCAAATGCATTCTTCACTTGTCTACCAATATTTGCATAACGATTACCCGAGTACTCGCATTATAGAAATGTGCTGCACTTTTCTTGACCTTCGGAATGTGCTTACGTTGACAGGTCTTGATCCGGCAGAGCCGTTCTTCGAGGGCATGTCAACATTAGTGCGGCTGGACCCTAGCGACGCCATTTTTGTTGACGCTATTCACACCGATGGAAAACGTTTTGCGTCTCCTCTGCCAACAGGTTAGATTCGCTGCATTTTGTTGTCTTGTCCTTGTGTTGTTACATTTGAATTACATTTTACTTGATGGTTCAAATGGTTTGAAATCTTTTCGACGATTAAGTAGGAGTAGATTCGGAGGTAATATCTCGAGTCGAGTAATTCTAGTAATGAAGCTCGAAGTTTTGAATGCGAATGCATTTGTTAGGCTATGTCAGGCGTCCGGCGGCGTCCGCGCGCCGGCAGGTGTTATCTCTTTGCTTTCACTCCCTCTCCCATAGCAACAGCTGCGGGCGCGCGCCCTTATCCTCGCCCTTAGCAACCGGAGCAGGTGGTGTGGGTGGAGTAGCAGAGAGTGAGTGGAGAGAAGCGTGCTCTGGCATGTAAGGGCTCTCGCAACGTGGAAGCTCGGCGGAGCTCCCACGTGTGTGGAGGCAGTGTAGGAGAGGGTAAGTGCAGTGCTTCCCTGCTTCTTCTCTCGCCGTTCGCTCTTTCTCCTCCCTGCGCCCCACTCTCCCGTCCGCTCGCTGGTACATGTATGTAAATGGAGTGAAGCGCGCGCCTCACTCTCGATCGTTCGCTGGCTGATCAATGTGTGAATAAATTGTTATGGTGCAAATCATCGTGTTGTCATTAATTTGCGCCATTAAAATTGCTACGCCGTGTACTCTCGGCGCAAGAAATGCCTTCGCATTTCCTCACAATTCCCTTCTGGGAAGCGGGGGTAATTTTTTAGTCTATATTAACTTAAGCGAGCAGTCACTTAAGATCAACGTGAGAGCAGTGACCTAGACAGGCGCTGCTCAGACGTTCTCAGGAGCCCTTGCCCAGGAGCATAGCCTGGGGTGGCACACGCGGCCCGTGCCTCCACCTCTCCGAAATTTTTTGCCATGGCATACAGAGCCAAAAATGACCGTTTAAGCGAGTGCCCCCCTCCTCAGGAAAAAAATTCTGCCAATGCCGCTGCCTTGCCCTATCGGTGAAATTGGGCCAAGCGAAGCTTTGCCGCGTCCTTGACATGCTTGTTTTTTTAGATCATCCACACATCTGATGAATCCACTACTTCGCCCGCAACAGTCACTCTAAGTACTATCCCCTACAGGCCCATACTTTTCACCGATAGTTTGCCCTGCGCCTAGCACGAGACTGGAATGGCCTGCCCACAGAAATTCCGCAGTTCCCAACCGGATAAAAAAAAAAAAATGTGCGTAGTGATGGAACTGCATTAAGAGGCCTGGGGTGCGGCCTCACCGGTAACCACCGCCGGGAACGCACTCTCTCACCAGAGAAGGATTGGCCACCCTGGTGCAATATCTGGCCACTACCTCCCACATGCAAATAGAAATAAAGACAGAAAAAAACTGCAAAAGATAAAAAAGAAAGATGAAAGCAAAGGGAAACAAAGACGGCTGTCCAGCTTTGCACTTACTGCAGGCTTGGCACCCCCACAGCGTGAAGCTACCTTAATTTTCGGTTCTACGTTGTACTTCAGCGCTGCGTAGACGAAGCACGCCGGGCTACATCGCGGCGTTTAAAATAGCGTGGCCACTTTTTTTTTCCTTTTTGCTTTACGAACCGACGATAAGCAGGAAGTTTCTACAAGATGAATCGGGATAACAAAGGAAATATAGCGGAAGGCTCGCGAACGATAACACCCATCTTTCATCACTCGTCAGATCGTTTATAAGCCGGTCTCCTCCCGTTTCCAGTCGGCCTTGGCATGATCGATCCGGTGGCGCACATCGACTTCTATCCCAACGGCGGTGTCACGCAGCCCGGTTGCGAAAAGGTCATCAAGAACTTCTCGCTCAAGAACGGACCCTGGCAAGGTAGTCCTCACGTTTACCTAATCACGTCACTGTCTAGAGATACATTAAATAATAATAATAATAATAATAATAATAATAATAATAATAATAATAATAATAATAATAATAATAATAATAATAATAATAATAATAAATTAAAATAGACAGGCAGATTCACACTATGGGTACCTAGCCTGAAGGAAGTACAGAGCAGCTCGACAGCCTTTTTTTATTCTCTTTTGTTTTTTGTTTTTTCCTCCCTTCTTTTTGACCTCGAAAGTGTTTCACTGCCGGTCTCTGCCAAGACTTAATGGCCGTACTTCCGTCACGGATATGACGTCGTAAAAGTAACGATACCAAATTAGAAAAAATACATTTATAAAAAAAGTCTGTCGTGCAGAACTTCGCCATCAAAGGCTAATTATTTGCAGCTCTAAGTGCCACATTTCAAGAATAACCTTGAGACAGTGTGATAAACGGGGACAGGGAGAAGGAGAGAAAAACAAAACAGAACGGAAAGATATGCTTGTGTCCCCCTTCCGCGCATCTTAAAAATTCTCAAAATATTTTGAACTTCATCATAGAAACAGTAGTCTCTTACCACCATTAAGTAGCCTGAGAGCGTTAATTGGACAAACCGTGCAATATCGGAATGATTGGACAAGACAGCATAAGAAGAGTCTTTAAAAAATGGTTATGGTCATCATCATCATCACCATCATCATCAGCCTGACTACGTCCACTGCAGGACAAAGGCCTCTCCCTTGTTCCGCCAGTTAACCCGGTCCTGTGCTTGCTGCTGCCAATTTATACCCACAAACTTCTTAGTCTCATCTGCCCACCTAACCTTCTGTCTCCCCCTAACCCGCTTGCCTTCTCTGGGAATCCAGTTAGTTACCCTTAACGACCAGTTAGTTACCCTTAACGACCAGTGGTCTACGCGCTACATGCCCGGCCCATGTCCATTTCTTCTTCTTGATTTCAGCTATCATATCCTTAACCCCCGCTTGTTCCCTAATCCACTCTGCTCTCTTTTTGTCTCTTAAGGTTACACCTACCATTTTTCTTTCCATTGCTCGCTGCGTCGTCCTCAATTTAAGCTGAACCCTCTTTGCAAGTCTCCAGGTTTCTGCTCCGTAGCTAAGTACCGGCAAGATATAGCTGTTATATACCTTCCTCTTGAGGGATAGTGGCAATCTACCTGTCATAATTTGAGAACGCTTGCCAAATGTGCTCCACCCCATTCTTATTCTTCTAGTTACTTCAATCTCGTGGTTCGGCTCCGCGGTTATTACCTGCCCTAAGTAGACATAGTCTTTTACAACTTGAAGTGCACTATTACCTATCTCGAAGCACTGCTCTTTTCCGAGGTTGTTGTACATTACTTTCGTTTTCTGCAGATTCATTTTAAGACCCACCTTTCTGCTCTCCTTCTCTAACTCCGTAATCATGAGTTGCAATTCGTCCCCTGAGTTACTCAGCAATGCAATGTCATCGGCGAAGCGCAGGTTACTAAGGTAAAAAATGGTTATGGTATAGCCACGTATAGATGGGCATTGTTAAAATTGTGCAGTTGCGGCTTACGCTGGCTTAAGTTGCGAATTACGTATGACAAGATAGACAGGCCTGGCTTGTGAAGAATGCGCAGGCCGTGCGTCGTTCCCAGACAGGTTTGCGGGAGTCGGTGACATGCCGTCACGAGAGAGCCAACCAGTTCGCGGCCGAGGCCCTGGCGAGCGAGGCGAGCCGTGACCCGGGACAGTGCGCGTTCGTCGCCTACGCCTGCGCCAGCTACGAGGAGTTCCTGTCGGGAAGATGCGCCGACTGCGGTCCCGACGGTAGCGGATGCGCCGTGATGGGCCTCTCGTCTATCTCGTCGCGACCCCGGCGGGGGACGGTCAAGATGTACATCCAGACGAACCAGGAGGCCCCGTTCTGTCGTGAGTGGAGCTGTAGTGTATGCGTCTTCTCCGATCGACCGGCTGATCGTTGAGCGATTGATTGATTTAACGGTCCAAAACTACGATATGATTGTGAGAGACGCCGTATAGTGCAGTGCTCCGGAAATTTCGACCACCTCCGTGGCGTTCTTTAACGTGCACCTAAATCTGTAGTAAACGGGTCTCAAACATTTTCGCCTCCATCGAAAATACAGCCGCCGCAGCCGGGATTCGATCCCGTGACCTTCTCGTTAGCAGTCGAGTGCCATAACCACAAGACCACCGTGGCGGGTCTGATTGATTGATTGATTGATTGATTGAATGATTGATCGATTGATTGATTCGCTGGGTGGCTGAGTGAGTTGGTTAATTAAGCGATTATATGCATGATTAGATGGGTAACAGATGAATGAGCGAGCATGTTGCGTGCAGATAAGCCTTATTCTTTAACGACTAGCTGCTTAGTGCCAAATATTAATCTGAGGCACATGCATGTAATTCTGGGGTTGGCAGTAAGATAGTGCTGCCAACTCCAGAATTACATAATACCACCGGCAGTACTATACAGTGCTGCCGGTGGTATTATTCCACTCCGTGTAGCCGGCAATCACTCCGCCAAGGTGTCTCTTTACGGTTCAGTACGTCTCTCGCAGAAATAAGTGTTTTATAGAAAAGACCTCCAGCAGATAACCAAAGTATGGCAGCCGATTGTTTGGCCCCGCATACCCGCGTCGATATTCTCCGAAGGCTGTGCCGCCAGCCATTCAGTCATAGCTGGATGCCTGGAGGCACATCCTTCGGACTACTGTAGTCAGTCGCGAGGGCGCGCCCGTGGGGTTGTGAGCGTCCACCTTTGAGGATGAAATGCGAGAGACTCCTTAACTGCTATCCGACTATGGTTAACGTGGTCGTCTACTTCTGTTGTTGTTACTCTATTCACGGTCCTAAAGCAACGCATTGAAGGAAGCGTCGTAATTACTGGGTGTGTACAACTCAAGGTTTGAGTGCCTTAACCGACAGTACGCGTTGATCAGCCTGATTCCAGACTACATGAAAAATGTATTCAGGGAGTTTGTCGTGTCTTGAGAACGGACTTCCAGTTCTGGGACGACATTTTTGGTTTTGTTGTTAGAATAGTGGAAGGTGACACGGTTGATGCTGTGCTTTGTCTTCCTTCTGTCTTTTTCAGTGTACCACTACCACATTGTTGTGCGCTTTGATTCACTGCCGTCGCCGGTATGTGGAAGATTGAGCCTTCAGTTGACGGGACAGGAAGGACAAGCAACTCTGATGCTGAGTGAAACGTACGTGTGCGTGTTTAACGCTGGCCTGCGCGATTAAAGGGGCATAAGGGGACGCTAAAGAGAAACAATGACTTTGGTTTGGAGCGACAAACTTTACTTTGATAACTTCAACGCCGTGTATTTAACTATCATAAGTTCGTTATTAGCGAAGAAAATCAACCTTGACAAAGTTTTATTTTTAAATTTCGCGCCGTAATCTATGCGCGTGACGTCAAAAATTTCAAAATATATTTTAGGGGCGAAGCTCCTTAAGGCGTGGGCTGTGCGCCCCCTGTATTACAGTGTACTAGAATTATTACCCCTATTACCCTCTATTCTAGTACACTGTACCTGTATGTAGCCACCTCTCGTTTAGTTCTTGCAGTGTTCACTAGATGGCGGGACCTGTAGTTGATGATGAAAAGATGCAAGATGTTATAAACTAGACGGTGGTACTTGTAGTTGATGATGAAAGATGCGAGATGTTATAAAATAGGAATGATGTCACATATGGCACGTGTCATTGGTGGAAGGCAATCGTTCGATTTAGTGCGGCGACGTACGCTAGGGGGAGCATTGTAATAAAATCGAGTAGGCAAAATGTACGGAAGATTCATGGTTTACCAGGTTTTCCTCCAGAGCTTCGCCCACTCATCATCATTCACTTCGTGGATATGGCGGCACTTTTTTTGTGTTTTCGCAACATTGGCTGGGTGAAATTTTCTGAAACTTGGTATGGATATAGGTCTATGGCGCCCACACATGGCAATGAATTTCATTTTTTATCGATTAGAAGCTACGTACTACCTAATAGACGCCTTCAAATTCTATGACGTCACGATGTTCGGTGTTTCTCCTCACGCGTTTTCTCGCTTACGAAGCGTCGTGTTGCTGTAAGAGTGGTGTTTTCGGGACTGTGAAATCGTTCTTTACTAATACGCGAAAAATGGTTTTGCTCTTTAGTGTGCCTTTAAACAACCCACAAAAATGCAAAGAACGAGCGCGTTATTCCCCTGCCGGCGTTTTCCGTCTTCTCGGGATGACTCGTGACGTCAGCTGTATGTTCATGTGACTTCCTGAGAGCACATAAGCTCTCGATCGGCCCAAATACGAGTAATATCAGATGTGAATTGCCTCCTATATACTCTGCTTTGCTACGCAGTCGCACGCCCCTATAGTGTCTTATGTCGCATGCTGATTTCCCTTCGTTTTGCGACTGTGTAAGTGGAGACAGCAGCGTGTAGCCGAAAAACGCGAAATGCTGATAAGCTCAACGGCTAGTGCTGACATCACCCTCGTGTTTTATGAAGAAAAGTGGCGAGGACGAGGTAGCGCCTGTATAGTATGGGCCATGACAGCGAGAGAGAAACCACTCCCTTGTATTTCGTCTAGAAGTGGGCATGTGGCGACATCCCGCGATGGTCGTGGAAACTTTGCCGCTCACTATTCTCAAATCAGACGATGGCCGTTGACTTTTGGTTTATGGCGGGGTTCATTTGAGTTTATGCGAAAAGGGGAACAAATTATAGTTGGGCTAGAAAATTCATTGTAACTTTACAGGCCACGTGGAGCGTTACAATGTCTGGCTCTGAGAACTCCAACGCCATGTATTTAACTATCATAAGTTCGTTATTAGCGGAGAAAATCAACCTTGACGAAATTCTCAGGAGCCTTAACTACCGATTGGCTGCGTTTTCTGGCCATGCCGAAAGGTGTCGCAGGGTCCTTTTAATGGGTTTCATTGCTCAAACTCTTCTGTATGTTTTTGCCAAACGGCACTCACGTTCTGCGAAATCTAACTTGTCTGTGCGTAGGGACGAACGCTTCACTTCCGGTTCGCAGTTCACGTACCTGTGCACGACTCAGACGAGGCTCGGCGAGATACTGGAAGGTGCGCTGAGCCTCAATTCTGTCGGCAAAGGTTACAGCGGTGATCTAGCGGTTCAGAGAGTGGACGTGTCCCTGATGAACAGCGTCGACGTGGCCAGGTGAGAGCCTTCTGCTAAGCGTTCCAAGGGGAATCATGCACCCTACCTGCTAGTGTTCTGAAAAGGGGGAGTGCACACGCCCATGAATCGTTGCGAAAAAAAAATCACAGCATATCCACGGAGTGAATATTGATCAGTGGGGCGAAGCGTCCGTCCATTCGTGCGTTCGTGCATCCGTCCTTTCGTGCATGCTTCCGTCCGTCCGTCCTATTGCACACTCTTCTATTGGACCAATGACTTCTAGGAAATGCGACAAGAAATGATACCTGAGACAGCGCCATTTATTATACTGTTCGGGAGATACTGCCGGTTACGCCTGACGCCGGACGAGGTTAGACTGAGAACATATTCGCCCCTAAAACTGTTCAAAAAAAATAACAAGAACAAAGTTATTGTTTCACCGCTAGTTGGAATGAATGATTGCGATAGCAACAAATCGTAATGTCGTACGAAACGAGGCCGGCAGCTAACTCTTTTGGATCCGATTGCACGGAACTCTAGAGAACGCTGATGCAAAAGAGTTCGGCCGCTCTATTCAGGGACACTTTCGCACTCTTCGCGTTGAGAGCGCAGCACAGATAAGGGTGTACAAACCGCCCGTTCGTGGTTGGAATGATTGCGCGCCCGCGGCTTTCTACTCTTCCATACAAGAGTATATACGAAGTACTCTAAATCGTTAAACACTTTTTCTCTAAACACACAGATAGAAGTTAACGGTTGCTAATTTAATGACCCCCCTCCCCTCCTCGCATTTTCATTCGACCACCTGTCTAACAGTCGCGGGGGATCTTATCGCATGGGCCTCGGAGTGACGTAGATGGGTGAGCTCGTTTGATAAACGCTTCGCCCGCGTTCGTCTCACCCGTTCGCGTGCTTCTTACCCGCGGATAAAAGGCACGACGCGCTGACGAATCTTTTCATGTTTGACTTCATACGGGACATGGCGATGACAAACACCCGTCGAGACTGCCCATGTAATTGCTGTCGCATTAAAACAGAGGTGAGGAACACAAATGCGAAGGGCGCATGCAGACCAGCATCTGAAGAAGATTTATTGTCAGCTACGTATAAAAAAAATGGAAGCCTTGCCCTATTGAACAAATGGGGGAAACCGTAGCTTGATGCGTGTGCCAAACGAATGGACGTCTTGAATTGGGAGTGCTTTAGAACGAAGAAACCGCGCCAGAGCAGGACGAAGACACGCTAACGCGGCACTGGCTAACAACCATATTCTACTGTGTTTGCTTGTCAAGATATGTGCAGAAAAAAAGACGCAATGGTTATACATATGGAAAAAGCAGGATATCGCTGTATAGCAATCACAAATCATAATTTCGAAAGTTACATCATTTCAATTTTGCGAAGCGATAGTGAAGCCACGCTGACACAAGATTCTGCACTTTTTTGGATGCAAAAAGCCTCGGAGATTTAACGTTGGCATTGCTATTATAGGGCCTAGTATTTCGCAATATTTAAATAAAAAACTGCCTGACAGTCGCATTTTTTACAACGATCTGCAATGTGACTGCTCTCTGGACCCTTCGAGTGAGTACGAGAGATTTGGCATTGTTACAGCGCTGTCTTGTTTTCTCGATATGTACACTGCGTTTTCTTAGAGGCGAAGCTCGCGAGCCGTGTTCTCCGCGTGCGGTATGCTCTACAAAACTGAACAGCTGCACCACGAAATACGAAAATATCTGTGTAAAAACCGACGACTGTATGTGTACATCACTCAAAGTATATGACAACACAATACGTGATCACCTGCGCCGTCCGTCTGTCCGTGCGTGCGTGCGTGCGTGCGTGCGTCCTTGCACCTGTCCGTCCCTTAAACTATAGTGCGTGACTTCAGCGTATACGCTGTCGCAATCCACAATATCTACAGACATTGTGGACCCTAAGACCTATAACTTCTCTCACTCGTCATCATTCACTTCCTGGAGGTGCGAGGATTCTTTTTTTTTTTTTTGCAACGCCTATATGTAATGGCGAATTCGCGCCTCTTTCCCGCTACCATTGTAGCTTTTTCAACGGCGGCAGTTACGCTTTTCTATTTATGTCTTTTTCTTTTAAATGAAATTTCATTTACGAGTTATCCGCGTGCACGTGCGTGTTCCTTTTTCGCCTCTGTTATGCCTAGTTCACACTGAAACATCCGCTTTCTACAGCGACCGGAATTCCTCTGCCGCCGAAACGCAGCGCTGTTCGCACTGGATGCGCCCCGCGCCGCCGAATATGCCATGTACCACGGGGCGAACGCGGGATGGATGCGCTGTCACCCGGTTGTTGTCGCGGCTCGAAAACGCCACTACGCTATCCGTTGGTGCATACTTGGATGATTCTCGTACGCAAGAAGCAAGAAAAGACAGTACTGCTTACTTTGCTGGCAAGTGGCTGTCTTGTAATGCACGAAGAGCAGAAAAACCACCGACGCCAGCGGCGTTGGTGGGTTCGTTTTGCTCTGCAAGACCGCAACAAGCTCGGTCACGCCAACAGCAAGCTCGGTCACCTTTTTCACGAAATACGGAGGCGAAGTAGGCACAGAGTAGGTTAAACTCCCGTTGGTTTCAACATTCAGTTACGTGCACTGCGACATAACAAGTGAGTAGGGCTTAGCCGCCATTTTTCAAAATTCCTTGACTAGCGCTCCTATTGGTCCGCGGTGACCGATTCGGCGGCAGACGCCGCAAAAATCGGTCCGAGAGCGATCGGCGCGGTGAGGGCCCTTTCGGCGGTTCTCGCCGCCGCCGAACCGGATTCGGAGCACTTTCGGCGGCCGGCGGGTGCTCAGTGTGAACGCGGCCTTTCGGCGGCGCGGGGCGCGTCCAGTGCGAACGACGCTGTGTTTCGGCGGCAGGGGAATTTCGGTCGCTGTAGAAAGCGGATGTTTCAGTGTGAACTAGGCATTAGTGTTGCCCGCCAACGAATTCGCCGAAATGTAATTTCACGGCCTCCTTCTCGTGCACGCGCAAAGGGAACGGGGAACATCAAAGGAGGGGAGGGGGGGGGGTCATTACCCCTTAAACCCCAGGGCGCAAGTCTACGTAAAATTATTGGCCCTGGATTCTTACATGATCGGGAGCCGAGGCACAAAGCTATGCATCCTGATATGGGGCCTTCGTTCCTAAATAGTTTCACACGAAGGCCGCTGAGCATCCCAATATATGACAGACGTGTTTCCGGAAATGGCACAAAAACACAACAAAATTGGCATATAGTTATGTTAAATTCTGTTATGTTAACATGTTAATTATGTTATTTTAAATTAAGTTATGTTAATATAGTTATGTGAAATAAAGCATAAAAAAGAACATCACATAGCTGAAATCAAATAAATATAAATTAGTCAAATAAATATGAATTAATGAATAAATAAAAAAAATATCTTAGCGTTGAGACGGCATTAGTGCCTTTGACGCACTGCAAGAGGTGATGCTTTCGTCCTGCGCCATTGTTATGTAACGTAAAGCATACGTAACCTCACGTATCTCAGTTAAAATGATCATGAGAGTTAAGTGCGTGTGCAACTACACGTTAGAGAACGGCTAAAGAACTTCGCTTGGCTGTATATTTGCGATGCAAGGCCGTGCGAAGGCATTATGCGATGTGTAAGCTTGAAGTCACCTTTCACTCTTATAGTTGGATGAAAGAAGAAAAAAAATAGAGAAGTATGTTGATTGTTCTATAGCTCTAGAACTGATTTCTAAATATTTTATGCATTAATGTCACGAAATAAAAAAAAAACTACCAGTCATTGTAACCCGATGTTTTTATTTTCATTTTTTCAGGTACAAAAGAAGAATCGTGACAACCTTTATTCCCACGCAAAACAGCGGCGGTGAAATATTGCTGTCTAAATTCATCCCGTATTGAGGAGCTAGGAAGCGTATACCACGAGCGTGCCATAGGTCCAAAAATTTCCTAATAAAAAAACATTACTCTTTGTTGTTGTTGTTGTTGTTGTTGTTTGATTGATTGATTGATATGTGGGGTTTAACGTCCCAAAACCACCATTTGATTATGAGAGACGCCGTAGTGGAGGGCTCCGGAAATTTCGACCACCTGGGGTTCTTTAACGTGCGTTGTTGTTGTCGTTGTCGTTGTCGTTGTTGTTGTTGTTGTTGTTGTTGTTGTTGTTGTTGTTGTTGTTGTTGTTGTTGTTGTTGTTGTTGTTTATGGCTTCGTGGCTCGCAATGTCAGCTTGAGAAACCACGTGGAACTGCGCTTGCTTTCACGCGCGACATTCTTTATTAAACGGGCTGTACATTTGTCATTGATCTAAATTTACGGGCCACGCCCTTTTGACCAATGGTAGATTACTGACGGTGCCTTGCCGCGGTGGTCTATAGTGGCCAAGGTACTCGGCTGCAGGTCGCGGGATCGAATCCCGGCTGCGGCGGCTGCATTTCCGAAGGAGGCGGAAATGTCGTAGGCCCGTGTGCTCAGATTTAAGCGCACGTAAAAGAACCCCAGGTGGTCGAAATTTCCGGAGCCCTTCACTACGGCGTCTCTCATAATCATATTGTAGTTTTGGGACGTTAAACCCCACATATCAATCAAGATGACTGACGGCGGCGAAAAGGGGTCGCACGCACACACAGTCATAGCATCACTCCGCGATGGCACTCCAGAGTTGTGCAGTTTAGGGAACGCGCCTGGACAAGTGCGTCCGCAGAACATTTTGTTCACGACCTTCAGACTATAGTGTTTGACTGCAACATCCAAATAGACTCAAACTTTCTTGATTTCGCAAAAGCTTTTGGCAAGGTTCCTCATCAGATTTTGTTACTATAAACTTTCAAAGCTTAACTTACACGTTAACATCCTCGAGTGACTTGAATAGTTTTTAACCGTTCTCAATCCGTCTGCCTTAATGGCTATCCGTGTAAAGCTCTCCCAGTAACCTCAGGAGCCCCACAAGGATCTGTTCTCCGTCCTCTCTTATTCCTAATATGTATTAATGACTTACCATTACATGCTCCCTGTAACATTCGCATGTTCGCTGATGTTTGTGTAATTTACTATAGTATTACTGGTCGTCATGACCATTACACCCTTCAGAGCGACCTTAACAATATACTGAATCGGTGTAACGTTTGGCTAATGACTCTCAAGCTTATTAAATCTAAACTCGTTTCCTTTTCTCGTCGTCAAAATTCCTCTCGCTTTCACTACTGCGTTTTGAATACATCGATCGAATTAGCAGATTCCTATAAACATTTAGGAGGCACACTTTATTCCAACTTACCATGGTGCACCCATATTACTAACATAATTTCAGCATCGAACATAATACTCGGTTTTCTCAAATGCCACCTCGGATTCGCTCCACCTCATTTATATTTAATTTACTCGCATACAAATACTTACAAGACCAAAGCTAGAATATGAATTTGTCATCTAGAGCCCGCATCAAGCATACCTAATAACAGTATTGGAAACCGTTCAAAGAAGCCACTCGATTTATTCATTCTTCATATTCACGTGACATCAGTATTTCGCCTTTGAAATATGAATCCGGTCTATCACTTCTTTCTTATCGTCGTCGCATAAGTTATTTTATTCGTCTCTCAATCAGGCGCCTTATATCACAGCCGCATCACGCATTTTCCACCGCACCGGCCACCCACTTCAAGTCGCCCGCCCGCCATCGCATACCACAACGTTTTCTGCTTTATTATTCGTCAGAGCAGCTTCAGACTGAAACGGCCTGCCCTATGGCATCGTCGAAATTGCCTCACCATCTACTTTTCAAGAATGCATCACTGATAATCTGCAATGATAATTAAATCATCGCTGTTAGACTTTCACTTGCAATCCCACCCCTTATGTAACACCCTCTAAGCTCCCATCAAAGCTTCCATCGAGAGCTTCCATGATGCTGCCCCCGTCGTCGAGACCCTGGCTGGCTCCGGTTCTCTGGGCAGACCCCCGACTGCAGACCCCCGACTGCAGACCCCCGACTGCAGACCCCCGACGACGGCGTGGTGTATTATGGTATGACATGATGTGGTGTGGTATGGTGTGGTATACGGTATGGTATGGCATGGCGTGGCATGGTATGGTGTGGAAAATATTTCTTGGGGTCCGTCGTGTCCGCAGAAAACCGCAGCTGGGTATGCGCGCCACAGAAATAAGGTAAGTCCTGCTACAGAATACAGCAGGTGCGAGGCTAACAGAAAATTCTGGCCGGCGTAGCGGAGCACGCGAAAGCGAGAAATAAAGCAATAGAAAAACAGAGAGAATATGAAAAAACAGAGAATAAAAGAGATGAGAAAGAGGGTGAGAAAGAAAGCGACCGGAAATAACGAGAGAGAGAGAGAGAAAAGCGCAGAGAAGCAAAGGGATTAAAGACACAAAAATATATTAAAGACTGAGAGATAAAGAAACAGACATGGACAGATTGATCGATATGTGGGGTTTAACGTCCCAAAACCACCATATGATTATGAGAGGCACCCGGAAGTGGAGGGCTCCGGAAATTTCGACTACCTGGTGTCCTTTAACGTGCACCCAAATCTGAGCACACGGGCTCATGAAATATAGATTAAAACAAATTTAAAAAACACAGAGGGCAAGATGCAAATAAAGGCAGAAATAAAGAGAAACAAGCAAAGATGGAGCAAGCAGAGATTGAGATGTAAAGAAAAAATATAGAAATACATAAATAGAGAAGGAAATGAACACTATAATTAGAGGAAAAAGAGAACAAGACAGAAAGAATAATAGAGTTAGAAAGATCGGGAGATACAGCCAGGCATAGATAGAGAGATAAATAATTGAATAGAAAGTAGCGGGCACGAAATACAATCAATTAACCCAGAGAAATATAGAAGAATGAAAAAAGAGTGGGAGAGAGAGAGAGAGAAACAAACAAGTGGAAGCCCAGCGCATGCAGTTCACTCTTCCTTCGGGATCCAAACCACTACTGCGAAGCTGTGATAATTTTTTTTCTCGTCAAATGTGACAATAAATAATAACCTTTCGTGTTTTACGTCGCAGAACCACGACATGAATGCGAAAGGCTCCACAATGGAGGCCCGGAGTCCTCCACTACGGCGTCTCTCACAACCATACAGTGGTTTTGGAACGTGAAACCCCACATATCTATCCGTCAGTCATAATGGAGCCCCCCCCCCCCCCCCCCCCCTTCATTTCCGTTTATACGGCGAACATCACTATCATTTCGTGATTTTCGAACATAATACCATAGAATTTACAATTCTCTCGTGAACACACTATAGCCGTGCTGAAAAAAAAAACATTTTTACATTGGCACCCTGTATATCAATGCTGCGTGCGCACAATCTATGTGCAGAACGACCCAGTAAAACAAATTTCACATATATACGAAAACTGAACGAAGCGAACGGTATGACATGACGCCACATGGCACTTGTTCGGGTATTTTCAAAGTGCACTCACTTTACTTATTTATTTCAGGAAACCCCTAAAGGCCCTCACGGGGAGGGTATTACATAGGGAGGTGGGGTAAAAAAAGTTAATGCAATGGATACACATCAAGCATTGAAAAGGTCACAAACAAAAAAGATATAATTGTCATAATGAACAAAAGCAATACAATAACCCAACGTCAGTTGGAAATATAAAAAAGAGAGATTAAGAACAGTTATGCTTTGTTTTATTATTCACCATATATTAATATTAATTTTAATATATAATATTAATATTAACATATATTAATATTAATAAGTACCAACAGTGTTTTGTTACATTGTAAAAGCTATTCAAGTTAACCGATCCATTTGTGTGTGTGTGTGCGTGACAAAGTACAGCTGCATGTCATTTTTTTTTTTTTTTTGCGTTCGTACATCACACGGAGGGGCGAAGACAAACTATGGCAAAACTTTGTGTTCTATAAATAATATTCCAGTGCGAATCGTCGTGTTGCATGCATACTGTAAAATTCGACGCTGGCGCGAAATTTGAACGTGTCCTTCATGGCCCACTTTTTTTAAAAATTTGTTTCTTGCTGTACACAATAGTATGGCCTCCGAGATTAAACTGCCTTTAAGTATAAAGAATCATCGCTGCAACGTTTATCTCGTAAAGATACGCTGTTAGTTAACATTGTTGATATAAATTGTTGTAGATTAGTGCTAGTTGCTGGTTTTTAATTTTTAGGAACCTTACTTTATGGTAACTAGAACTGGTAATTAAAAAATAAAGGGGCTTTGTTGTTAATGCGACTTGTCTGCCATCTATGAATAACTTCCAACACTACAGTTGTGATTTTTTTCGGAGGCATTGTTAATTCAACAAATATAATTAGTGCGCAAAAAAGTCGTCAAACTTACTAATTTTGTGTCCAACATTAGGTAAGTATTTCACGTTTTTTCTTTTATTCTTTAAACCTCAGAGTTCATAGTTTGCTGCGAAATTCAGTACCACTGCAGAATTATGGCGGCCTGGTTGTACATTTTGATTTTAAGTTATAAACTTTATAATCACACAGCGTTCAATATTTATAACAACCAACTTTTCAATACATGTTTGCAATGCGACTGAAGCACCACGTACAGGCAATTTTTGACACTAAACGTCGATTGCAATCTCGAAGGCTGTGCCAACCTGACTGCACTGTTCTTATTGCGCGGCAGAGGACGCCACCGTCTGCGCGCTAGAGCTGCTGGAACCGTTTTTTGGATTATGAAAAAACAAATACGAATTAGTCGCGTGCGCGCTGGCGGAGCTGAGAACGTATGTGCTGAAGGTGTGCGGTTTTTTTTAGCATTTTAGTTATTTAGCGTCGGTTGTGCTGCCGTCTCCGCGCGCTGTGCTTGACTTCGACACGCGGAAGCCGCTCGCGCTGTGCCGTTCGGTGCAACGTCCGAAGCTGCGACCACTCGGATGCACCGGCCGAGATGAGAGGTCTACGGCGGCGCTGACCCAAGCCTCGGACCGTTCTCCGACTCTCATCTACCGGCATAATGGGCGACGACACCAGCGTACGGGTGGCCGTCCGGTAAGACGTTCGCCTTTCCCTTAAGCACCTGACAGCGGCGCATCTCGTTTCCACAGCTCTCCTTTCAAACGTTCGAGCGCCGTCAGTTTCCGTAATTTCATGTCGTATTGCGTGCCTCGTATTTCCATGACTTTAAAAGGGGAGAGACCGTCACCTTCGTATACGTGCGTCAATTTGCGCGAGAGGCCGTTTCTTTTCCGCGTAGGTTGGGGCCGACGTAGGCCGACTGGAATCGAAACCGACCCACGCTGCCCGAATACTCAAGGACTAATAGCAGCGGGATGCAGGCCGCCGAGCCGCAGCGTTACCAAAAAGAGAAAGCTTCTTTCACCATTGATCTTTGCGCGTGTGACGTGACGCTAAGCGCGCATGTTTTGTTTTGTTTTTTTTTTTCCCGTAAATTGTGCACGCGTTTGCTTGAACGTGAAAAAGGATGAAGTGGAGTCGTTTCGCGCGTACTTTCCTAGTGTTCCCGAGCGACCGCGAGCGACTTTTGCGCGTGTAAATTGTTGCGGCTTTTCGTTTCGTACGCGTCCACGAAACCCGAGTTGGCGCCGCCAAGCATGCGGCATTCTCAACTGTTGTCCGCCGGCATCACCCGCGGACAATAGCGCTTCCTTTTGTGAAAGCGTTGCGGCAATTCTTCTTGCCCAGATGCTCAGCTGGCGTAGTGTTCCCGGGGGGTAATCTCGAGCCTTAGCATTTCGCCTTGTTTGTTTGCGGCTCGTTTCTGTTTGCTCCACTCGTCCGACGAGAGTTGCCTTATTTGTTCCCCGGCCCCGCGCCGGAGGTCGACGGAGCGTGAATTTGGGTTTGGTGGGAAAGGTGCGTGCTAGCGCTGGCGGGTTTATCGGACCCTCGCGCGGCGGCGGCGTCGAAAAAGAGAGAGAGAAAGAAAGGGAGAAAGCAGCGGTACACATCACAGAACGCCTTTGATCTTTGCGCTGAAACAACGCCGATGTTTTTTTTTTAATTTTTTTTCTTCCGTGCATGCGTGTGCTGTGCCACCGCAGCCGCTTTCGTTGTTACGTAGCAGGCAGAATGACGAAGTTGTGACACTACACGACAAACGCTCGCATTTCGGCCCGACTTTTAGCACGGCTCCTGAAGTTCGTTTTTTTTTGTACGCAAGCCCGGCAATGTTGTGTATATTATGGAACGAGCGCTCTTGTTTGCGGGTCACTCTGACATTGATTTCTTATCGTAGGACCGAAGGGGGCCAGATAGTGTTCGCATCGAAACGCTCGACCGAGATCAAATGCTTCCCACTAGAACGTGCCAAACATATTGGCTTCGCCAGCCGATAAAGCCACTCATATCACACTCCGTCTCTGTAATCATGCCGTCCGGTAAGATGGCGCGCCTAATGTACTACTGTCCCACGTAATATAATTTCCCACGTAGCACTTTTCCTCGTATATTGAAATCATTATCGCAGTCCAGCACGTCGAGCATGACCAACTTCGCAATAAACGGATGTTCGCATAATCCCTCGTCCAATTGCATTGAAGGTTTTACGTATGACAGAAACTCTGAAATAACGATATGCTCGATTATGTCGCGAAATAGATTAGCCGTTGAATTTGTTTTTTTCTGTGGGCTGTTCCCTGTCGATATAGTGCAATTGTGAACCGCGTGCGATAACGAGTCGATGCTTCCTTGAGCACTTTGTTTACCATGCAACGCGCCCATTGTTGGCACTGAGAGCAGACAATGATCTCGGTGTGGCGCTGTGCATTCGCTGCCCACTCCAAAGTGAAGGCACATGCAATTATAGAAAAAGCTGCTTTCGAGGCGAAAATTGGGCATTCAAGAGCGCGATACGTTGTAGTCGGTTACATATTCGTAACGGTCAAAGCGTTGCTCAAAGACAACACAAAATATTCACGAAATGAAACACCTGTGCAAAGTGAATCCAAAAAAGTGTGGCGCAGTACGGAACAATGACGGAACAGGAACTCGTTCTCTGACACGGCAATACATTTTTGCCATGCGAGAGGAGTACTTTATATTTCATTAATACGATGCACTAATTTTCTGGTTCTCCCTCATCCGCCCGCCCCGCCGCGGTGGTCTAGTGGCTTAGGTACTCACTCGGCTGCTGACCCGCAGGTCGTGGGGTCGAATCCCGGCTGCGGCGACTGCATTTTCGATGGAGGCGAAAATGTTGTAGGCCCGTGTGCTCAGATTTGGGTGCGCGTTAAAGAACCCCAGGTGGTCGAAATTTCCGGAGCCCCTCACTACGGCGTCTCTCATAATCATTGGGTGGTTTTGGGGCGTTAAACCCCACATATTAATCATCCTCATCCGCCGGCTCCCGCTTCGCAATCCTGGCGATTTCTAACGTTTATTATTCGACTCTTTTTTCGTTTGGGGGCGCATGCACCTTTTTTGTGGAATGGTGAAAGTCTAACTGTTCTATAGGCGAGAGACATTGTACAATGTGTTGATTCTTGTTATCTATACACGCGTTGCCCCTAGATAAAGTTTCAGTCAAGAGTGTGCGCCAGTGTTGGCGTTCTCTTCTCCAGTCCCCGTTGCGTACTGCGCCACGAACCGTTACCAACTGGCCCAAGCGGCCCTTTTGCTACGCTGACTGCAAGACGATAGTTATAGCGCGATAACATAACGACGACACAGAAACAAGAAAGGACACGAGCGCTGTAACTTCCCAACTCTCGTGTCCTTGTCTCTGCGTCGTCGTTCTCGCGCTATAAGTATCGTCATGCCATACCAACTGGCCCAAGCGGCCCTTTTGCTACGCTGTATAACTGCAAGCTGACTGCCGGGAAGCAATAACAAAACATCCAAATGCACAAGGGGCACGTATAGCTATAAGCGTTCGCACTTTCACTGTTTCTGTCTTATTTCCGACGGAGGCGGAAATGTTGTAGGCCCGTGTGCTCAGATTTGGGTGCACGTTAAAGAACCCCAGGTGGTCGAAATTTCCGGAGCCCTCCACTACGGCGTCTCTCATAATCATATGGTGGTTTTGGGACGTTAAACCCCACATATCAATCAATCATGTTTCTGTCTTATTGTCCCAAATGAGGCTTGTCGATTCACGTGCGGGTCTTTCTCGCGCACCCCTTCTCTTTTCTTGTTTTTTTTTTCTGCTGTTGATAAATCCTTCTTTGGTGCGTGCTTTTCGTGCAAGTTTGTTCGCTTTGTGGGCATTCCTGTATGGCTCCGTTTTCACCTTTACGAATAAGTTTGCCACGATCGCACATTCATAGCGTCGTTATTGGGCGCCGTGCTTGGCGTATAGTTTCGTTTTCTCCGAAATGCGGAGCCGTATTGACGGGGGGGCCGTCAGTTGGTCGCAACACAGTTCATGGCTTCACCTGTCGAAACCTCTCTTCAAGCGTCCCGTGTAAGGCGGAAACTCGCAGGATTTGACTGCGCCTATAAGTCTTGCAGTGGCGTAGCCAGGAAGTGGCACACCGGACCCTCCCCACCCCTCCCCCTTCGGCATTTTTTTCCCCGTGGCATACAGAGCAAAAAATTACCATTTCAGAGGGTTACCCCCCCCCCCCCCCGAGAAAACAAGTCTCTGCTATACGCTTTTGACCTATAATGTTAATGTGAAAGCCATCTGCAGGTGTGGCTGTTCACCGCGCTCCTTGATTTCGACGTCCAACGTTCACCAATTAGGCTTTTGCCGAGTGTTTTCTCTCATTAGCTCAATTTGCTTCGATTATGATGTATATCAACACAGTCATGCTTTCACTCGCCCCCCTGCATGCCCTCCACCAACCTATTTTTCTGCGTCATTTAAGGCTGCTCTTAATGAGGCTCTCATTTCAGACTTACAAGGCCAACTAAAATATAATCTCTCTCTCTCTCTCTCTCTCTCTCTGTGTGTTTGTGTGTGTGTGTGTGTGTGTGTGTGTGTGTGTGTGTGTGTGTGTGTGTGTGTGTGTGTGTGTGTGTGTGTGTTAACCTAAATTACATCTCGTTATAGAATGCATCTTTTATAATCTGGGGCTGTCGAAATAGAGTTCTCGCGCATTTGCATAACGCGCACGAGCGCTCCGGTCAGAATTTTCACAGCGCGCCCCCGACAAGCGCCTCCTCTGTAAAGAAAGCGTTGTCCCGCCTGATGATTGGCTGTGGCGATGGGGGTCCTGTCATAAGAAAATTCTGATGGAACGTTGCCAAATTGGCAAATGACGTCCTAGTGTCGTGCTGTTGTTGATTGCGAAGACGATGCACTGGCGTAGTTTTCTCTCGTTCTTTCGTTCTCTCGTTTTTGTTCTTTCTTTCTTTTTTTTCTTTTTTTCTTCTTTTTTTCTTCTTTTCCCATAATTGGTTCTCAGATTGAGCTCCGTGCGCCTTGCAGATGCTACTTAGACCCCCTTCTTTCCCATTTTTTGCAAAAAAACAAACAAACAGTTTTTCATATTTGTGACGTTAGTGAAGCCATGCACCTACAATATTGGAGTTACATCGCTGAGTGGTCTGTCTCGTCTCCTCGGTTTGGTTCCGCGTAGAAGCAGCCACCTGCCCGCATATCCTGCTCGGAAACTGAATGACGAACGCACGAAAAGGACTACCTTTTCTTCGAGAGTGGCGGTGGAGGCCACATTACTTTCGCAAGGGCAGGGGACGCAGAGGGGGAAAGGTGAGGGACGAAAGCGATGCCGCCCGCTTTGCGCAAGCCTGCGTGCATATCACAATCCATCAATGAAGCGAGACCTCATGCCGCACCAAATTCTTTTCAGCAGCCTTCTTACCGAAAACAGCCGCCCATTGGAACCACCACCTTCCCTCTTCCGTTGTAACAATAACAGACCCTTTGTTATTCAAGACTGCAATTTCTCAGCAATGTTTGTAGCTATACGCAGTTTCCATTATCTATCTTTGTCTTGTATGTGCTTGAATTCTTACTTATACATTTTTAGTTGATTTATGTTGCCTTCGTGATTTGCGCATCTGACACTTGTTTCTTTTTCTTTGTCTTTTTTTCTTGTTTTTATTCCTTTGTGTGTTATAAAATG